TATATCTATATCTATATCTATATCTATATCTATATCTATATCTATATCTACATCTATATCTATTTGAAAAGAAGTTGTATCGATCTTGAAGGGAATAGTTCTACTTCAAGAAAGTATTAATATGATGACAGAAGATTTTATGTCACTACTCTACTATTTTCGGGATTTTGGATGGACTATATATATGTTCCTAAAATTCCGTACCGAAACTTCACTCCAACTACCAAATTCCCTGCCATTATTCATTACCTAACTGTTATTTGCATATATGCTTTTCCACTTCGATATGTCTGTCCACAAAATTGTTCGCCAATGGTCATTTATTTATATATTTGCATTTAATTAAAAAATCTCACATTGACCAAACGCCCGATTTATTTGCATACTTACAGGCGGTTAACTGTGGCAAAGTGACACGTGACCAGCTTTGTTGTGTTAGCGGTGCTATGGATGATAAAGGCAAGAGCAACTACAACAAAATTATAACATCAAACAACAACATGCATGTGACCAGTATATTACAAAGCAATAAGAGCGTAGCATAAACGGGATATCGGCGACAACATCGTAAGCTTTGATGCCGAAAAGGCTGCAGCGATAAATCACACCGTCAACTGAGGCACAAGGTAATTTATCAATGTCAACACTTTGTTGCCTTGTTGTTGTTGTTGATTTTCTAGTATAAAATACATACAAATTTGTTGTTTAAGCGCTTCAAAGTTAACGGGACATTTACCGCTGTGTGAATGTGTATGAAATTTAAAAATTTCAAATCTAAATTTAAAACCTTTTGTCACTTATTCCTAAAAGGATTAACATTGTAAATTACAAAATTACCCACTTCCGCATTGAGTTTCATTACCGAATTTTGTGATAGCTTTTATTAACGAAAAATTCGGTCTACCTTTTATCCTTATTAACCCCTTCTGGTTACTCGCTATACACCTTCTCTCTCTTTCACATTCTCAATCAGCCATCAATTATAAACTTGCTTTTGTTCTCCTTCAGGCTTTAATCCTTTCATTTGCATTTTGTATTTGCTTTTCTCAAGAACAATTTTGTACATTCACAGTTATCTTGTTGCTATTGTTAAGGTCTTATATGTGTTTCTTTTGTTATTGTTACACCTATTGACACTGGTCAGCGACGCCCTGAAGTGGACACTGAAGTTGGTCAATAATTGAATTTTCACGCCAAAAGCCCAAATGCTCACACTATGCCAATTTGGAGTGGCTTCAAATGAAAAAAGTGTTGCTAAAGATGTCAATCCCGAAATGCCGCATTACTATTATGAAGTAAATTCTGCCTTTCTTATCAAAATGGTTCATACAAGCTACAATTTAACAACAATGGGTGTATTAATGCTGTCAGCAAAGTCAATCCCGAAATTATTAAATCTGGAAAACCGGAACCAGCAATATACAGAAGAAGTCGTTCGTTCTGATAAGAATAATACTTGTAAATACAATTAAATAACTAGTGTGGTCAGTCCCAAAATCTCGAATCAACGATATTGTGATGATTTATAATTTTTTTAAGCTTTAATGATTATATTTAGTAAAATTTATGAAACCAAATTTTAAAAGGACTGTTTGGTCTTTAAGATAAAAGTTTCTTACCATATATTCTAATTTGCTATTCCTTGAAATATAAAAATTTCGAATTGGAATATTTTTTTCTGTTGAAACCTCGAATTACAGATAGTTTGGTATTTGCGTCATTATAAGATTTGTTTTCTTGTTTATAAATTAAGTTACTTCTAAAGGTAGTTTTCATGCAAGCAGTTCGAGCAATCCCGAAATTTTAATATGAAAATAAATATTTAATATTGTCTAACATGCAAACAGTTCTTAAACAAAAAATAATTTTTTTACATCAATTTCGTCAATCCCGTTTTCAATCCCGAAATTTCGGATTGATCTTAATTTTCAATTTTTACAAAAATCACATGTTGCCACACCATATATGTATGTTTAGGACACAAGTGGCTCCCTCCCCTCAACTGGCCTCCAATCAAACCGTCGTCCGCCTGTCTCAATTGTCATCCGTGAGCTCACATGCGAATGTGTGTGCATGCTTTGTGTTTGAAGTTTGATCATTTCACTCTGGTCCTGGCTTATTTCGTCACTTAATAAGCGCCCATTTAACAAACTCTTTGTTGTTGCTTTCATTATGCTCTCTTGCGATTAGTTTTGCACATAGTTGTTGTTGTTTTGCCTCTTAATGCCGTAAATTGCATTTTGGCACGCAATTAGTGGTTCATTTGATTGTTTTGTCTTGTCCTCTCGACTGCAATTGTCGTGACGTTGTCTGTTTATTTTTGGTTTTCTGGCAGTTTATTTCTTTATATTTACTTAACGGTGTTGTTTATTTGAATTGGTACAGCAGACGCGTGAATATCGACGTAGTGGAGTCTGCAAGTTACATTAATATGTATAAATCTCTCAAGCGAATATTTACCTACATTGTCGTTATTTACCATACTTTGATTTTACACTGTGCTGAACTTAATTTGTTTTATTTTTGTACGTGGTTTCCTCATTATAAGACTAGTTAGCCACTACTTAAAATAATGAGGCATCCAACGTTTTAACTCTGTTTTATACGCGAACTAGTACCTCAGTTTATGAGATATCATCATGAAAGTTTGCACAAGTTCTTTTCTCTCCAGATCGGATCATTATAACTTATAGCTACCGTACAAACTGACCGATCTACTAGTAAATATAATATAATTCCAGTAAGGAATATTTGGTTTTTGTGAAGGGTATTATAGCTAAATACTAGCTATATACTTGTAAAATACCAAAGAGTTAATCTGTACGGAACACCAAATAGTTTGAGTATCTTCCATATATGGGGTTCTGGTATTCCCAGAAAATCCCAAAGAAGAAGCGACATAAATCTTTGCCACTTAAATTTCTCCAAAATCTGCTACATAATTGATGACATTGCTAATTAGAAACATTTAAGATACATTTAGCACTAAGTTTAGTTGCTTAAATGTTATGACGTCTTAAAATATGTAAAACCTCAACGGTACTGCTATTAATATTATATATTTACTCGACTTTCGGATTCTTATTTTTTGCCAGTATACAAAACAACATGTGCAGATCCCAAGATATCGCATCGACCTCGCGCTACATTACCGCAGTCGAAAGTAGCAAGTTGATGACCAACCTCTCTTGGTTTTAGATTTAATTTGGAACATCCACTTGTTTTACAATTAAAATAAATTTTATCTTTGGGACTTAATTTAAATCATCTTCTTAAATTCCGCAGATACCTTAAAGCACGCCGCAAGGCATGAGTATATGCATTTTCAGAACAATCGCAACCAACTTCACACAAACTCAAACAGCATATTGCTCGCAATATAACTGTACATTAGTATTTGTAGGTGTATTCACAGCAATACAGACAATTTCACAATTTCGCAATTAGAGATCTGAACTTATTTGTTTTCTGATTATGAAGCGTTAAGCAACTGTCAACGCACCACAACTTTGGCATGAGAATGAAAACGCAATTTATTATAACGCAAAAGTTTTGCAAGTAAACACACACACACTGGCACTTAATGTAGACTCCACATAGCCTATACAATACGCTACGCTTAAAGACGACACTATCTCTAGCGCTGGCATCAATGGTTGCAACGCCAAAGTGCTTGCTACAAAGCGGCGTCTTCTTCATTATTCAACTTATCTCCATCTATCTTGGCGCTGTCACGGCAGCTGGGCGGTGGAGTAAGTGATTGGAAAGGAGTGTACTGTGAAGAGTGAGAGTGTGTATGCGTTTGCCACTGATACGTGCAGTCAGCGTGACTTCCTGTCAACCGACTTCTTACGCTTTGCTATAACCAAAGAATGAGACTTGGTTCAAGCAAGCCTACTTCTATCAGTGCAAATTCTTTGGCTCTTATTTGCTCCTTGTCACAGTTGTCCTTGCTACGGTTGTGTTGTCAATGACTGCATTGTTGTTGTTGTAGTTGTTTTTGGTGCTTTTGGTGTTGTGTGGCACGACGCGTCATGCACAAAAGCCGTCATGCCTGCTGCAAATTAGCAGAAAAATCTGTTATCCTTTCAGTGCTTTGACATTGGCTTGGCTTGCTTGCGGCGTGTTAATGATTTCTCTTAGCCAACTTATGCTTACAAGCAATTACTTGGCTTTTTCTTTACACACATAAACACTTGTAGTTGCTGAGCCAGAGTGACTGTGACTTTTACGTCGGTTCCACAATAATAAGAAAACTTTTGCTCAACTCAAACATTGCTGTTGTTTTTGTTACATTGTTAAATATATTCTTCGTTTCTCTCTCACTACCTTTCTCTGCAACATTTGTGCAAAGTGTCAAGTTGCACGTATTTAAAATTAAACAATTTAATCCCACTGCTGCTTGCGCACACCTACAGCATTCATCAGCCGAAAAAGTCCTTACAAACTGAGGCTTACAGCTGACATTATCACTACAAACCAAAGGATAATTCTTTTGCTGCACGCTTTTGTTGTTTCTGACATTTGTTTACACTCTCGCTGTCTTGTTATGTATGTATGTCGGTTGATTAGCGGGATGTCTTACCTTGTAAGCGGCGGCTCAAGGATATGCGCGCTAATTAGCAAACAGCCGAACACAGGAAAGCCACATGCCGTCTTCTGAGATTAAAAGAATCGCAATAAGTCTTTGCTGGAAGACTATATGTGTGTCGGTTTCACGGATAATTCATTGAAGGATAGTTGTTGTAATTTTAATTGTTATTTTGAATTATTGTCGTAGTTTGGCTGTCACGAGTCATGAAAAAGGAAATGGGTTTAATGATGCAAAAAATAAATTGTAATTTATTATTACCAAAAGTTTCGAAATTCGTAATCAAATTCATCCTATATAGCCATGACGGCAGCAGAGGTGTAAGCTGATACCTTGTCGCGATGGCGAGCATGTTTTTCTCCGCAAAATGGAACCGACTTTTCTGAAATTCAGAGTCGAGTTGGCATATTAAGTTATCTCACTTCTTCTCTAAAATAGCTAGGAAAATTCGGCATTCCTGTGTAGAGGCCAAATGTGCCCGTATATCATATACCCTCAAATATGTTATTTTGTGAAGAATGTTGCTCGGCAAGGTATATTTCAACTCTTGTGGACCTGTATGTACTTCAACATAGTCTGATTAGGTAGATGCAAATCGATGTATGTATATTGAGAAACCTGTCGCTTTCAACAATAACTCTTTTTTTATATCATTCGTAGAGAGCTGCATATTATCGGTTTGAGACAGAGTCTCAGTAGTCTAACTTATTAACTGAAATTATCAAACCCTTACGCAATAGTTCTAACCTCCAAATAAATTGCGCAAAATTGCAGCTTCCGCTGAAAGGAGTATCGTCACATAAACTGAAATAGTAATAAAACTTTGCACAACTGCACTTTGCCTTCTAATTATCGCTTAAGTCTGAACGACAATTCAATTGAAAAGTAAAACTTTGCCAGCAAAAGGAATAGCAGAAGCGACATATTCGAATTGCGCTGGAAACACGACTTTGCACTTTCAACTAAGCGAAGCTACAGCGACACGACTTACTTTCTTGCCACGGCAGCGATGCACAGCTTGAGTTCCTATTATTG